AGAATACAGTCCTCTCTGATGTCAGTCTCCTGGGGCCCAAGACTTCTCTCCAGTTTCTCGGCACAGTGGGACTATTTGTTTAGCAATGCCCCTAGGAGGTAAGAGCCACACCTGTCTTATTCACAGAGGACGGGCACTTCACAGGGGACAGCTAACTCTGGAGTAGTCGCTGCTGTGTAGTAAATACATGGAACCCGGGACTGGGTAAATAATGAAGTTCTTTGTTCTTGGTTTACGGACGAAGACATGAGGGGTTGGTGGTGCAGTTAAGCTTTAAGGAGTTTACCTAGCATGCACAAAAGCCCTAGGTTTGGGCTCAGTGGTTGAAAGAGAGCGCTGGCTGCTGGTCATCCAGAAGACCGGGGTTCAGTTCCCAGCACCCACATGGTGGCTCATTACCATCTGTAACTCCAGTTCTAAGCAAATCTGATGGCCTCTTCTCACCACGAAGACTGCTTTGTATATATGGTGTACTTGTGCCAATGTGGCCTCTGCCTTTCTACTGCTGGGATTACAGGTGAGTATCTGAATGCCAGTTTCCCGACTCCTTTCTTCTTCGTCTTCCTCAAAGCAGAGACAGCAGAGGGAGGTAAATGGCATGAACATAAGGGCAACTTGATCCTGGTTCCCAGGCCTTCTGTTTATTACAGTCAGTTGTGAAACAGCTGCCCATGGGGACCGGCTGGCCAAACCCTTAGAGAACATGCTCGCGACAAAAGCACCTGTGGCCCCAGGAGCTACAGTTCCAGGATGCAGATGTCTCAAAGAAAACCCGTTTGGTTTGTACCACCTTAAACCCGCTTAGGATGGGTTAAGATTGTCAGAAAGCCGGGGTGTCTGGGGTGGTGGGTGCCAGCGCTCTCAGGGGTATTCACTGAAGAAAGACACAGACAAAGCAGCCTAGGCGGGTGGTGGTGGAGACCCACCTTCTAAACGGCAGCTTTCGTAGAGGCTGGGGATACGGCTCAGTGGCAAAGCATTTGCTTAGTATGGACAGGACCCTGAGTTTAGTTTGTAACACACCAAAAACAAAATACCCTTTCCCCACCCCACCCTTTTTTTTTTTTTTTTTGAGACAGGGTGCTCTGTGTAGCTTCGGAGCCTTTTCTGGAACTCTCTCTCTGTAGAGGCATTGGGAGACAGCACAGACCCTTCACCAGCTTCTCTAATGTGAGTGTCTTACAGAGAGGACCGCCATAGGTTAGTGAAAGCCACGGAGTGACTCCTGGTGTGGCACCATTAACTAAAGAGTTAATCATCTGTCAGTGGACAGAGCCAGGTGCCCATGCTGCATCTTTCCTTGTCTGTCAGAACCTTAACATCTTTGGAAGGAAAGAGGCAAGCATTGCTTTTATTTTTCTTGTTATTATTATTTCAAAGATGGATGGGGTCTTATGTAGCCCAGGCTGGCCTCAAACTCACTGTGTAGCCAAGGATGACCTTGGACTCCTGATCCCCCTGCCTCCACCTCCTGAGTGCTATGGCTATAGGCTGAGTGCAGGATTCAGTATAGTTGTGACATGTTAGGGTGAGTGACTTGGCCTCTGAAGCAGAGAAGTGGGGCGATTACAGCCTGTGCGCAAACCAGAGCTACTGTCTGCTTTTGTCCAGTCTGCAAGCTGAGAAACATGTCTTTCCATTTGTAAAAGGGCTGAAAGACATTGAGAGGAATGATGTCATGTGTGGGAGTCACAGAGTCCAAATTCTGGTGACTGTCACTTAGGCTGGGTTGGCTCACTGGCATGGCTACTCTTTTCTACAATGTGCACATTCATTTATGTTTGCCTTACAAGCTAAGGCCTGGGGAACGGAGACAGAGACCACAGGCCTTGAAGGGCTCAATATTGATTGACCTTGGATCCCACTGAAGAATTTGCCAGCACTGAGGTGGAGGCTTGGGAGGACCTGGCAGTCACTTCAAGAGGGACGGAAGAACTGGGTGTGGATGGTGGCACATGACTATAACCCTAGCCGTTGGGAGTGTTGCGCAGCAACTTCCTCCAGCATAAAACCTTCCATTTTGGAGGGAAGTTCACTAGACACAGACTGTTTGAAAGGGAGGTGAGACTCTCCATCAGTCCTGCAGGGAAGCTCTGTAGACTCAGGAAGGAGACAAGTCAAAGGCTTTATGAAGTCCCTGAAACTGATCAAAGTCTCTAGGCCCCTCCCTTCCTGAGCATATATGAACAGTAAGGCCTGCTGAAAGAAACTCCAAGACAAGTGGAGATGCCTGGACAAGGTTTAGACCAACCGAGGCACCAGGAATGGACACTCTCCAGCTGCCTTCAGGCTGTGCAGTGGGCTCCAGGTTCCCAGCTTTGTGAGCTGTCACTTGTGCTGGGTTGGCCTTTTGTGATACAGCTTTGAGTCATTTCTGTCCCCCCCCAATAAAACTAATTGGCTCACCACATTGGACTTTGCTGCTTTCCTGACTGTGGTCCCGTTTGGGCTGAGCAGACGTCCGTTTATACCCTCCCAGACATAGTGTCACATGACACACAGACAGCAGATCAGGAGTTCAAAGTCATTCTCAGCTACATGACAAGTTAGAAGCCATCCTCATCTGCATCAACACCTACAGAAAAGCCATCAATAAATAAACAGTTAAGGACACTAAAGTTTCTGGGGCACCCAGTCACTATACAAATACTGTGGATCCAGGCTCTAACCTAGGAGAGACACCCTGCTGAGTGGGTATGCTCAAACTGTAACCCCGGGAGAAGTTAATTCCTGTCAGGCAACTTCTCAGTTCTCTGGTATAGTCTCTACCTGTGAGAATAATAGCTTCTGTCATATTGAGAGTGGTACCCTGTGCCAGGACCGCTTTGTCCATTTCAATCCTTACAATCTCCCCAGGACAAAACTGAGGTCTAAGGGCTTAGCCACATCCAAGGGCTCACAGATAGCTACAAAGTAAGAAAAGTAGACCAGAGACCCAGTCTCTGTGTTTCCAGTGCAAATGCTAACTAAGTTAGGCACGTGCAGTGCTCAGAGCAGGCTGGGGGTAGGTGGCTGGATGGAGAGGATGGGTGGGCACTGGGGAGGAGAGGTGACTCTGGGAGGCCACTCACCACAGGTCTGTGAAATCACAGTCTCACAGGAACACACAGCCTCCTAGCCAGAAGGCTCATTTTCCGAAGGAACATTCGGTAAGGTTTTAGGTGGTCAGGTTTCTGTTCTTTGATCTGAACCAACAAGCTCTGTGACTTCTGAGCCTCTCCATACTGTCTCCATCCCCAGGACCAGTGGGCCCGGATGATGGTGCTAGCCTATCCTCTCTTTTACTGGAGTGTCCTGAAGCTGCTGACGGACTCTACCTTGGTCAAATATACCAAGAGACAAGATAATCAAGCCACCTGCTTAATGTGTCCCAGGTAGAAGGGCCCCTGGCCATGTGGGATTGGAAGAATGGGACACCACAGTCAATTATGCCATCCCTGGCTCCTTTGGTCTTCCTGGAGCAATGTCCATAGCCATGACCTTGGCCTTTCTTCTCCATGGCTGGATGAGCACAGAGAGATCGTCCCAACTTGCCACTGATGGTGACACCAGCCCTGGTGTGTTCAAGTGGCACTGACAGTTTTGTTCACAACCATTTCAATATATGTAGTCAGGAATTGTGAAGTTAAAAGGTGTCAGATTTGATAAAGGAAGGTCCTGCCTGATGTCCAGGCCTATGCCCAAATTCCAGTCTTTTTGTTCTTACGAGAACAAGTTACTTGCGAGTTTCCTGTTCCCTAAAATGTTCCCAGGAACTTTTTAACTAGCTTGGTAATATATCTCCTAGGCCCTCAGCAGCTACAGAATAGATCTATAAAGCTTTTGTTTTTGTTTTTTTGTTTTTGTTTTTGTTTTTGTTTTTTTTTTTTTTTTTTTACACAGAACGTAGACCAGGTTGCAAATCCCTGGTGACATGCTCCAGAACCTTGGCTCCTGCCACTTGCCCCAAGGTCAATATGGTTTGGGGTAGATGGTTCTGTTCTTCATTCCAGACTATTCTGAAGACTCTCAGTGTGACAAACTTGCAACTGCACATGCATGAGGAGGGCTTGGTGCACGTGTACAGATGCAGATACAGTTCTGTTTCTCTCATGCACCACAGGAAAAATGTTCTTTAAAGGATCAGAAATGTTTCCTCAGGGCTGGAGAGATGGCTCAGAGGTTAAGTGCAACCTCTGCTTTTCCAGAGGACCTGGGTTCTATTCCCGCCTCCCGCAGCTCACATCTGTCTGTAGCTCCAGTTGCAGGGGATATGATGCCCTCACACAGACATACATGCAGGCAAAACATAAAATAGGAAAAATAAGTTTTAAAAGTGTTCACCCCCCCCCTTAATGTTTCTGTGTATGGAGAAAGCACTGGACTGAGTTTCATGGAGGGTTAACACTGGGACACTTGCTGGAACGAGACCTTAGAACTGAGGGCAAACTCTAAAAGCAGGCCATAGCTCTCCCTTATGCCTCAGTGCAGGAACAAAACATCACTGTGAAGATGTCCCTTAATGTCCCCGGTTTTGCTCATTGAGTGCACTGCAGCCCAGCAGAGGGTGAGGTGGGGGAGCGACACTTATCAGTTGTCTCATGAAGGAGCAGGGCTCTGTGGCTTCTGGCCCAGGTGCAGTCCGTGAGACTCAGATTGCTTCTGCATTTTCTGTGACAGTTGCCACCAGAGTTAAGCATGGCCAGTGGTGCTCGTTGGAATGGCCACACACAACTGCTTGGGTGTTCTGCTGAGAAAGAAAATAGTCTGGCACTCCCAGGAGCCCAGAACAGCTCCTCCCAGTCACAGAAGCCAGCAGTGCAGACAGACAGCACTCCAAAGGGAGGGCCTGAGCGGCTGGCGATGACCTCCATGAAGCATATATACCACGAGGAAGGCCTGCCACTGGCCGAGCCACCCCCCATCAGGACTGGGATCCAGTTGCCGTGACTGTTCCCACCTTCACCCGCTCTTCTCTATCAGACAGTCCAATGCTCACCTTTGTAAATTCCATTGCCTGAGAGAAATTGGCTTTTAATGTCTAAACGCTCTAAAAATCAGGGTGGGGGTAGGCACATACAGAAAAAGGCTCTTGGGGAATGCACACATGCGTGTGCAAGCACACACAAAGTCCTTTATGCTGCCAACATTCTCCGTGACTTCACTCATCCAACTGTTCGGAACTGTCGGAAATGGCTAAGCCAAGAATTTCAGTCGTGAATATTTCTGCAGTGATTTCGTCTGGAAGTTCTTCTTCCAGGCAGATTTCTGGATCTGGATAGGCAAGAAAAGAAAACCAAATGCCTTTGTGGTGATGAAGCTCCTAAGAAGAGGGGTTCTCAAAAATCCAAGGGAACCACACAAGGCAAAAAGTGGAAGGGTGGGCTGGAGATGTGGCTCAGCATCCACACAGTGGCTCAAAACCATCTGTACTCCAGTTCCAGGGGAGCCGCACTCGCTTCTGGCCTCCCTGGGCGTGCATATGGCACACAGACATACACACAGGCAAAACATCCTACATATACCACGAAAGCCTTGACAGAAAAGAAAAAGCACGCAGTATATTGTGCTAAGGGCCACCTTTGACTCTTCAAGCTAGGTCATTATGGAGTAGAGCCCCGTTAACCAAGGTCCTGGAAAACCTGGTGAGACATTAAAAGGAAGAGGTAGCAGGGAGACAGGCCAGGAATCTTTGCTTCCATAGTCTTAGAAGCTGTAGGCCTGAGCACCAACCACCCCAGGCTTGTGGGTAGAGATTTTCCAGCCCAAGAAGGCCTGGAAGAGCTGTTAGAATTGGTTCCTCCTGAGCTTATGCTCACAACAGTGACACCTGTTAGTGACAACTGGCTGAGCAGAGGCAGAGCAGAGGCAGAGGTGGGACATCCTTGGGGTAGAGCAAGAAGACGAAGAGGATTTTTTATTCATTTGGTGTTGGGGATAGAATCCAGGTCTCCGGGCACGGGAGGAAAGCCCCTCCCATCAAGCACACCCTGTGGCTAGGATGACCTCGGAGAAACTGAAGCCATGGGAGATGTCATGGAGGATGAGGTGATAACTGAGTGGACTCTTCATAACCGAAGAGCTCCAGATTTGGTGAGAGGCCCTGTTTAATGAATATAGGAGAAAATGATGGAGGAAGACACATGATGCTTACCCAGACACATATGCATGCATAACCATTTACATACATACAAACAGGAACTCACACCTGCACATCATACACATGTACATGTGAAAGAAAAAGACAAGAACTAGAAGGGTGGGTAAGATGGCTCAGTGGTCGAAATCACTTGTCCCCAAGTCTGAAGACATGGGTTCTATCATCAGGACCTACATGGTGGAAGGAGAGAAAACACAGAGAGAGAGAGAGAGACAGAGACAGAGACAGAGACAGAGAAAGGGAGAGAGTGGGGGAGGGGATATAAAAAGATGCAAAAGCAAACTTTTAAGAAAAAGAATTTAGAAACAGTACACATTTGTAATCCTGGCACTTGGGAGCTGGAGGCAGGAGGATCAGGAGCCCAAGGCTATCCCAAGGCTATCTGAGGCTACATAAAGAGACCAATCACAATTAAAAAAAAAAAAACAAATAAAAAGCTAAGCACGACTGCACATGCCTTTAACCTCGGCACTCAGGAGGCAGTAGGAGGATCTCTGTGACTTTGAAGCTAGCCTTGACTACATAGTGCATTCCAGGCCAGCCAAGGCTATATAGTGAGACTCTGTCTCAGGAAAAAAAGAAAAGAAAAAGAAAGAAAACCAAACACTAGAGGAAGAGAGAAAAGGGGAGAGAAAGAGAAATAGAGGGGGCTAGAGAGATGGCTCAGTGGTTAGGAGCACTGACTGCTCTTCCAAAGGACCCAGGTTCAATTCCCAGCACCCACATGACAGTTACCTTCACACAGACATACATGCAGGCAAAACACCAATGTACATAAAATAAAAATAATACATTTTTTAAAAAGAAAGAAAGAGAAATGAGAGAGTTTTAAAGTCCTGGAAGTTTGGAGCTGAGTTCATTCTCCTACTCTGTTGTCTCCTCTCTCCACAGCTACCCTCCAGGAGTGGCTTATATTCATCCACGCAAGCCAGAAAGATGAACCCAGTTTAATAAAGAAAAACAGCCAGGTGGTGGTGGTGCATACCTTTAATCCCAGTGCTTGGGAAGCAGACAGATCTTTGAGTTCAAGGCCAGCCCAGACTACTTGGTGAGTTCAAGGACAGCCAGAGCTTCAAAGGGAAACCCTGCTTGAAAGAGAGGGGGAGGGGGAAGGGGGGAGAGAGAGGGAGGAACAAGGGCAGAAGACATCCCAGGACAAGCAGAGCAGGAATGAACGCTCTCATCTGGCAAACAGAGCCATGGCTTACCGGCTCTGTCATCACCTATTCACAGGATTCCCAGCAGATCAACTCTGTTGTGTACAGGGTCTTAAGAAGAGAGGCCTGTACCAGTTGGGAGGAACAAATGCACTTAAGTCTATAACAAATTAGTGAGCGGCGGCTACAAGCCCAGACAAAGGCCAAGTACCTCTGATGGAGGTGGCTGCAGGCTCCGATTTCCACCCCTCAGGATTCAGACCAAACAGCGTCGCAAAGCAGTCATACATCTCCTCCTTTGTCATGTGCTCGCCTGGGCATGGAGGGTAAAAGGAGTCTGGTTAACTATGGGACTCTGTCTAACATTGGGGTTGAGAACTATAAGAAGGTCTTTTGTCTGTTTGTTTTGAAGCTGGGTCTTCTGTATCACAGCCTGGCCTCGAGCTCTCTATAAAGCTAGGAGGACCCTTGAACTCCTAATCTTGCCTCCACCTCCCAAGTGCTGGGATTACAGACTTGGGGCAGCAGACCTGGCTTATGCAGTCCTGGGGATCCAATGTAGGGCTTGGAGCAAGCTAGGCAAGCACTGTTCAACTGAACTACACCTCCAGCCCTGCTGGGATCTTTCCATCTTCCTGCCTGGACTTCCAGAGTTCTGGGATTACAGTTGTGTGCCACTCCTTGGCTAGAGAGCTCTTTTCAAATTTTACATTTGTTTCTTTGTGTGTGTGTGTGTGTGTGTGTGTGTGTGTGTGTGTGTGTGTGTGTGTGTGTGTGTACCTGACATAGAGCGTGTTCAGAGGTCAGAGGACAGCTTCTGTTCCCTCCTGCCACTATGTGGGTCTTAGAGACTGAACTTGGGTCCCCAGCCTTAGCAGTGAGCACATTACCCGCTGAGCCATCTCACTGGCCCAGGGAGCTTAAAAAGATGTACTCTGCCATTCTTTAGATAGAAGGATGACCCACAGAGTCCTATTCTGTCACGACACTTCCTTATACGGTGTTACAAAGCTGGGAGGTGTTGGAGCTTGTAGAAAGGGGCAAGGCAATGCGGTCACGAAGGGTGGGCTCTGCTTTCTTCCAAGTTCCCTCTTCTCAGAGCCATCCCAGGTGGACTGCGATAAAAAAGCCTCATACTTGTCAGATATGCAAGGCAGTTCAAGGCCCTCACACAGTAGGTGTGCTCTGATATCATAAACCCATCCCGACCTTATTATAGAAACTGGCAAATACCTCCCCATTTTACAAGTCAAGCTGGGGTTGGTGGTGTATGCCTCCAATCCCAGACAGGGGAGGTTGAGGCAAGAGGATGAAGAGGCTAGCCTCAGCTACAAAACAACAACTCCAGGCTAGCTTGACCTACAAAACAGCATGTACGCATGCTGAGACTGGACGTTTGGGAAGCTGAGTGAGAAGCAAACTTTTCTTTACATATTTTTTTGCACTTTTATTTATTTTGTGAATGGAGGGAGGGAGCATGTGCCATGTGCTTGGAGGTCAGAGTACAACTTTTTCTGCCATGTGAGTTCTGGGGGTTGAACCCAGGCCATCAGGCTTTGTGGCGAACACCTTTACCTACTGTGTCATCTTGCTGGCCCATGAGTCACAAGTTTCTCATTTCTAGGTCAGAGACCTTCTCATTAGCCCACACTTGTCAGATATTCGAGACAGTACAAGATGACCCTGGAGGTTGGTGCCCTTTCACGTGGCTGTTCATCACGACAGATGGAGACCCCCACGTGTCTGCCTGCCCTAACGAGGCCTTCTCTGCTGGGAATGGCTCAAGGATGCCACCAGATGTCCTTGATTGCGTGTTACCTTTAGTGAGGAGTAAGTTCAGGAAATCCTCTCTCCGAATAGCCTTTTTCCCTTGGGAATTGGTGAAACCCAGCACGTTAAAGCTCTCCTGGATGCCAGCCAAGGTGTTCCCAAAAGGTGGCCTGTGATTAAGATAAACTTTGAGGAAGTCCGGTAAGTTGATTTTGTCGATCAGATTCCCAGTGTCCACGTATTCGCTAAACTTGATCTCATTAAACATGTCATCAATCTAGAGAAGAGAGCAGAAAACAGAACAAAGGCTGTGGTCCACGCAAAAGATACTTGGCTATGCTGCTCATGGAAACTGGAGAGGAGCATGCTGTTATGTCCTCCCAGGAAGGATGCTGATCCTAGACTTGGGGACCTTGTAAGAAATGGGGCGGCCACAGATGTAATTATAAAATGAGGCCATGCTGGAGTAGGGTGGCTTTCAATCCAATATGTCCATCATTATGCCATTACAGCTCGGAGCCCCAGCAGTGTGATTCCATGCACACCTGTTTCCTCGTGGTCAGGAAACAGAGTGCAAGTGTCAGAATGGAGGAGGAGCCCCAACCTGAGCTGTCACAGGGAGCATATGGCACTGATGACACTGATTTTAGATTCTATCAGAGGATAAAATTTTGTTGTTTTTGCACATTCTAGTGCCCTGGACTCAGTCCTTAGCATCAAAATAAAATAAACTAATAAATAAATAACCTTTTTGAAGACTTACTTTCTAAAATTATGTCTATACATGTATGTCTCTCTGTATACACGTGTGTGAGTACAGGTACCTGTGTATGCCAGAAGAGGACGTGGAACCCTTTGGAGCTGGAGTCACGGGTGGCTGTGAGGCCGCCTGATATGTGGGTACAGGAACCAAAGCCTGGTCCTCTGCAAGCACTCTTTACCCATGAGACATCTCCCACCCAGTCCGTGGCACTTTGTCCTGCCCTGAAGATGTCACACTGTCCATGCCTTGTGGACTGTCACAAATACTATTCTACTATGTCACTTTTCACCCTGACGATCAGCCCCTTCCTCACCCTGAGACATACGTTTCAGTTTGTTTTAAGAGTAGAATCTAGCCAGGCTTGGTGGTACACACCTGTTCCCTTGTAGTCAGGAGACAGAGGCAGCAAGGTCATCATGAGTGCAACACCAATCTGTGGCCACATTGCAAGTTCTAAGTTAACTAGGGCTAGATAGCGAGATGCTATTTCAAGAAACAAGCAAAAAAGAGTACTTCCAAAACTATGAAGATAGAACCTATAAGAATTTAAAAGTAAGATTGGATGAATAAATATTTCAGTGCAGAAACCCAAATATGTAACTCATACACTAGTAAATTTCTTTCTAAATTAATTTTTAAAGCTAGTATACAGCCAGCTGTGGTGATGCATGTCTTTAATTACAGCACTCAGGAGCAGAAATAGGGGCAGGTGGACCTCTCTAAGTTTCAGGCCAGACTGGTCTGCACAGTGAGTTTCAAGCCAGCTAGACATGCACAGTGAGGCCTTGTCTCATAAAAAAAAGAAAATAATTCTAAGAAATTCACTAAAACCAACCTACTAGAACTGGTAAATAAAACTAGTGATATTTCAAGGCATGATATCAACCTGTGAAAACCAGAGTTGAAAAGACAGCTCAGCAGGTAAGCTCTCACAGAAGACTGGGGTTTGGTTTCCAGCACCCACATGACAGCTTGTAACCATACATAACTCCAGTTCTGACGCCCTCTCCTGACCTCAGCAGGCACTGCACACACATGGTACACATACATATATGAAGGTAAAATACACACACATAAAAACTTCAGAATGTGAAAATCAATTGTATTTTTATAAATTAATGCCACGAAGATTAAGAAAACAAAAACATTTCTTTTTTAAAAGCATACCTGAGTTTGAGTGTGTGTGTGTGTGTGTGTGTGTGTGTGTGTGTGTGTGTGTGTGTGTAGTGTATGGGTACAAGTGTGCCCACTGCACAGGTGGAAAACAAAGGACACTATGTGGGTTTGACATTTATTTGCAGAACCATATCACCAGCCTAATAATTGTATTTCTAGTAGTCCCAAATTCAATAAATACTTAGGAATAATTTTTTAAAGGACTTAAGTTCTAAGAACTAAATGATGTTGACATTAAGAGAAACTTGAATTAATGGGAAGATTTCCTTATTCGGTGCATGGAAGATTAGTGTTAAGGTGACTGCACTACAGGCTGACGAAGGTCACTCACCTATCAGGTCCCAGACCTGGGGTCCACCCTCAGAACCACCAGAGACCCAGCTAGCTTTTTTGTTATTGTGGAAAGTGACAAGCTGATTCTGACATTAACACTGCAAAGAACTGACAAAATAGTAGAAAAAAGTAGAATAGACAGAATTGTAGGTATAAGATGGACTGAATCTTAAGGACACACACTCCCTGCTTCTCAGTTTCAGAGCTCACTACCATCCTGCAGCCATCAGCACGGTGTGGCTCTGGCATAACGGCAGACAGGCACCACCACACTGACATGGAATTGAGTGCACGGGAAAAGGACTGGTGGGAAGGCAAAACACCAATGCACATAAAATAAGAAGAAATTATTATTAAAAAAAAAAAAGTTGCTGCTCTTGCAGAGGGCCTGAGTTCAGTTCCAGCATCCACGTTTGGTGGCTCTCACACCCTGTCATTCCTGACCCAATGCCCTTTTCTGGCCTCTGTGAACACACACACACATACACACACACACACGCACCATGGTGCACATATGGAGGGCCCAGGGTCAATTTGCTGCCATTAAACCCTGCTTCTACCACACAGATCCTGGACACTGAACTTAGGTCATCAGGCTCACAAGTTAGCACCTCTACCCACTGAGCCATCTTGCCCGCCATACACAGTTTGCTGTTTTTAATCTTAATTTTGTGTTTTTATTATTCTATTTGAGACAGGGCCTCACTAAGTCACCCTGACTTGCCAAGGATTCACTCTGTAGACCAGATTGATCTGAAACTCTCAGAGATGTGCCTGCTTCTGCCTCCAGAGTGCTAAGATTAAAGACATGGGCCACCATGTCTGACTTCTTATTTTTTGCAGACCTAGCTTGAGATCCAACTGCTTCCTGCCAGTTACTCATTTTTCTTTTTTTAAATCATGATTTTTAGAGCCACCAACTAACTAAAGAAGGAAATCATCAGCACCTCTCTACTCCTCCATGCATGGCTTTCCCGAGACATCACGGACCTTACATTTTGTGGAAACACTACCTCGACTTTCCATTCTCACTGCCTCACTGGCTTATACAGTTTTGTTACTTGAGCACTGTCTGTCGCTAAACCGGAGGTTACTTACTTTCACTTTAAGGATACTTTAAAAGAAAAGATCATTTAAAAGCTGTCCTCTGCACAATGACAGACTGCTGGGGCCTCCCTTTTCATTCTTTCCCTTGCAGGGTTTGTGCTTAGATATGTGTGTGGTGTTGGAGGGAGAAAGGTGTGACCATTTTCCCCTATGTGTGAAGTAGAGCTGCTAGATGCTGGCAGCCCGAGTTCTTGGGAAATAGCATTATTGGTTGCGAGGAGCTGAGCTGAAACTGTATGCACTGTGTGTGAGGACACTGGGTTTGCATGTCACACAACTGTACCTTAGATTATACATCAATCTTTCACGCATATTAAAAACTGTTAACAGCCAGGCAGTGGTAGCACATGCCTTTAATCCCAGCATTGGGGAGGCAGAGGCAGGTGGATCTCTGCAAGTTTGAGGTCAGCCTGGTGTATAGAGTGAATTCCAGGACATCCAGGACTACATAGAGAAACCCTATGTCAAAAAAAAAAAAACCCTGTTATGATATTAGCACGTTATGCTATATGAATAGTACAAGGCAAAAAGATATATACTATCTGAAGTGAAACTTTTAATTTTAATAACTTAAAAATTATTTATTTTTAGTTTATGTATATATTCAAATGTTTGCTTGCATTATGCTTATGCGCCATATATGTGACTGGTGACTGAGAGGACCAGAAGGGTATGTCAGACCCCCTGATCTGCAGTTACTGATGCTTGTGAGCTGTTACGTGGGTGCTGGAAATTGAGCCTGGGTCCTCTGCAAGAGTGGCAACTTTTTTTAAAAGAAGAATAATTTATTTTTATTTTATGTGCATTGGTGTTTTGTCTGCATGCATGTCTGTGAGGGTGTCAGATCCTGGAGTTACAGGAAGTTGTAAACCACTGTGTGGGTACTGGGAATCGAACCCTGGTCTTCTTCTTCTCTCCAGCCCCAAGAGTAATAACTCTTTAACTGTAATCTCTTAGCCACTGAGCCATCTCTCTAGTTCCAATTGTAATAATTTTAATAATACCAGGGCTGGAGAGACAGCTCAGTAGCTAAGAGCACTGGCTTCTCTTACAGAGGACCCAGGTTTGATTCCTACCACAAACAGTTGTGAGGTGGCTCACAACTAACTGTAACACTAGTTCCAGGGGATCTAATGCCCTTTTCCAGCCTCTGTGGGCACCAGACAATAAGAGATGTACAAATATACATGCATGTGAAACACCCATATGCACAAACATTTTTAAAAGATAAAATGTAAAAAATTTAATAATTTTAATATTGTTAAGATATACACATGCAACCAGGCATTGGTGGCACATGCCTTTAGTCCCAACACTTGGGAAGCAGAGGCAGGTGGATCTCTGTGAGTTTGAGGCCAGCATGGTCTACAGATCTAGTTCCAGGACAGGCTCCAAAATAATACAGAAAAATCCTGTCTCGGAAAAAAAAAAAAAAAAAAAAAAAGATATACACACTACTACTTACTTAGTAGAGAGCAAAATTAAGTGATAATTTCAGAGAATAATCTACTTTCAAATTCCAACACTGCCATTTTCTGTGTATGCCTTCTTCAGTTATTTAATACCACTTTTGTCCAACTTTCTTATCTCGGGAGAGTAGAGCAAAGCATAACACATATGCACTGGGGTGCTTTGTGCTTTGTTTAGTCTTGGTTTTATTTCTGTGAACTTTTGGAGACAGGGCTTCATGTAGCCCAAGTTGACCTCAATCTTGCTGTGCAGCTGAGCATGACCTTGAACTTCTGATCTCAGAAGCATGTGCCAGCAGGCCTATTTTATGTGGTGCTGGGGTCGCACCCAGGCCTTCCTGCATGCTGGGCGAGCACTCTGCCATCTCAGCTGCATCTCTAGCTTACACTGGGTTGTTTTGAAGCATACAAGTAAAGTGTCTGCATAGG